AGATTCTGATTAAACTTCAGTACAGCAGAGCCAAATTAAATAATAATGTACAGCTTAATAACTTGTACATGTATAAACTTGAAAATGATCTAAATTATTTTATATCAATATGGCACCGCTGAAGATCATTCATGCGAGTCCAAGCTGGTGAAAAATAGAGAATACAATCTAGTTTCTCTCCCAATGATTGTTATTACCTCATCTTCTTCTGGTATCTTTTTCAAAGTATATGAATAAATAAATAAATAAATAAATAAATAAATACTTAAGCACAAACTATGACAAAAAGAAAGAAAAAAAATCTAAATTACATTGTTTAACTTGAAAGTTTTGAAACTTTTTATTTACTGAAAATGTTTTCAGATATGTAAAACTATATTTCCAGCAATGTTATTTATTCCCTTCACTCTTCTTACAGTAGTGTTTATTTCTTCATCATTTCCAGTACTCCACACTGTGGCATATTTTTACAGGGCTGATTGTCAGCTGATGTATGTGTTCTAATGGTGACATCTAGTGGATCCTAAAAGCATTAACAGAAAGTGAAAGTAAAAGCAGCTCAACCTGAACACACACAGAGTGAACCGGTATCGGAGATTAAAAGAACAAGTTTTGAGAGACTGCCAAAAGAAAACAGTTTCTATGATATCTGGAGGCAGAGAGCAGCATCACACAGGTAAGATTATAAGGAAGAGATGGACAGTTTTCAAACTGCAGGAACTTCGTTTTAAGGTTGTTTCTAAATGTGACACGAAACCGTTGTACAGCCTCTTTTTTTACACCCCTTTGGTTTCCACATCGCCTCCGCACAGAGGTCACCAGCTGTTGAGGTGAACTGGAAATTTGAGATAACATCATAAATATTTATAAATATCTCACTGTGTTATCTCTAACTCTTTAAACTTCAGGTTTAAACTTTCTGTCTGTCCGTTTGGAGATCCGCATTTTATGTTCTTTATGGTAAATGACCCGCATGTGTAGGCTAACTCGAGGACCTCAGTGTTTGTTAAATTAAGGTGGTATGAGAGGTAAAGTTGTTTTTTTTTCGTTTCGACGAAAAATAAACCGGATTTTTCGTACGTCATATTAACACTTTGTTTACATTATTTTGAAACAAAGGGCTTCCTGTAACTTTGTGATGTTGCTGGTAAATAAGGAAGTTTTATTCGGATCAACAGCCCTGTACTTTGTCAAGTTCCAAATGCTACAAATTAAAATCTCCGGGATCATTAACACAAACAGTGTTAGA